CACTTAAAAACCGGTTCTCCCCAGCACTGTTTTCCTGGTGCTGCCTCGTCCCTCCCCCCATGCTGCTGCCTATATCAGAGGCAGCAGGGGGGAGAGAGGGTGTAGGGGGTGCTGCTGCAAAGCAGCTTCTGCCCATGGCAGGCCTAGACTCCAGCAGCAGTCCCTAGTCTGGGACTGCTGCGGCTCTGTCCCGGCTCGCACCGGACAGGGACCTACCCCTGCTGCAGCTCTGCAGTTTAAGTGAAGTAGGTGCTGGGCTGCCTGCGTGCCCAGCTCCTACCACATTTAAACTACAGAGCTGCAGCAGGGGTAGCTCCTGGACCGGCGTGAGCTGGGACAGAGCACTTTCCCTTATTGATTCATCATGCAGTCGATACAAATTGTATCAGCTACACAATTAGTCAGTTGCACGCCCCTTAACATCCTTAGTCAAGGCAGGACTACAAATAGCCATACCACGCCTGGTATAACCTGTTCTTAAAAACCTCCAATGATGGAAAGTCTCAGAGGGATAGCTGTGTTCATCTATATCTACAAAAACACCCATGGAAGCTTATGCCCTATTAAACCTGTTAGTCTCTAAGGCCACGTGTTTACCAAATGAAGGATCGATGCTGTATTGTAGAGTAAGTAAGGACCCGCTAAATGGAACGCTGAGAGCTCCCTATTTACTCTGGTACTTCTTGCAGTCATGAGGAGTAAGGAAAGAAGATGGGAGAGTTTCTCCCATCAACCTCCCGCTATGGGAATGCCGGAAAAATTCGGCTAAAGGTAAGTTGACTCCAGCTATGTTATTTACGGAGCTGGAGTTGCATATTTTAAGCTGACCTTCTAGTTTAGTATAGATGTGCTCCAGGACTTTTCATTGTTTGTCTAATGATGGAGACACCACAACGTGCCTAGGCAATTTGTTCCAATGCTTAACCACCCTGACAGTTAGGAAGTTTTTCTTTATGTCCAACTTAAACCTCCCTTGCTGCAATTTAAGCCCACTGCTTCTTGTCCTATCCTCAGAGGTTAACAAGAATATTTTTTCTCCCTTCTTTTACGAACTTGAATGCTGTTGTGATATCCCCCTCAGTCTTGTCTTCTCTAAACTAATCAAACCCAATTATTTCAATATTCCCTAGACCATGTTTTCTAGATCTTTAATCATTCTTGTTGCTCTTTTCTAGACGTTCTCCAATTTTTCTGTATCTTTCCTGAAATGTGAGGCCCAGAATTGGACACATACTCCAGTTGAGGCCTAATCAGCGTGAAGTAGAGCAGAAGAATCTCTTTTCATGTCTTGCTTACAACACGTTTGCTAATGCACCCCACAATGTTTGCATTTTTCACTACAATGTCACACTGTTGATTAATCCACCATAACCTCAGATCCCTTTCTGCAGCATTCCTTTCTAGGCAGTCATTTCTCATTCTGTATTTGTGCAATTGATTGTTGGAGTACTTCGCATTTGTCCATGCTGAATTTCAGGACAATTTACTACAGGCCATTTCTCCAGTTTGTCCAGATCATATTTAATTGTAATCCTATCCTTCAGAGCACTTGCAACCCTTCCCACATTGGTACCACCTGCGAACTCTGTAAGTGTACTTACTTTCTATGCCATTATCTAAATCACTGATGAAATTATTGAGCAGAGCCAGATCCAGGACTGACCTCTTCAAGACCATATTTGATATGTCTTTCCAGCTTGACAGTGAATCACTGAAAGCTATGTCAGTTTTTCAACCAGTTATGCACTCACTTTATGGTAACTCTAGGCTGTATTTATCTCGCTTGTGTATGAGACAGTCATGCAAGGCAATATCAAAAGCCTTACTAAAGTTAAGATATACTATACCTACCATTTCCCGCCATCCCCAAAGCTTATTATTCTGTCAAAGAAAGCTATTAGGTTTGATTTGACACAATTTGTTCTTGACAAATCCATGCTGCCTACTGGCATCACCTATTATCTTCTAGATATTTGCATATTGATTGTGTGGCTCTTTGCTCTTTTTCCTTTCCAGGTGCTGAAATTACTCTGACTGTAATTCCCACTTTTATAGATGGTGGCTGCATCTAGATTGGCAAGTTTTTCCGCAAAAGCAATTGCTTTTGCGGAAAAACTTGCCAATCTAGATGCAGCCACCATCTATAAAAGTGGGAATTACAGTCAGAGTAATTTCAGCACCTGGAAAGGAAAAAGAGCAAAGAGCCACACAATCAATATGCAAATATCTAGAAGATAATAGGTGATGCCAGTAGGCAGCATGGATTTGTCAAGAACAAATTGTGTCAAATCAAACCTAATAGCTTTCTAGCAAAACCGTGTGTAGATTGGCATGAACACTTTTCCGCAAAAAGTGCTTTTGCGCAAAAGCGTCCGTGTCAATCTAGACGCTTTTTTCCACAAATGCTTTTAACGGAAAAAACGTTTCTGTTAAAAGCATTTGCAGAAAATCATGCCAGTCTAGACGTAGCCGGTCAGTATATTTGTTCTCTTCCCATCCTTAGTTTCTCCTGTCTTCCTTGGGTTTTCCAGGATAATCACTAATGGCTCAGATCAGTCAGCTCCTTGAGTATTCTAGGGCATATTTCATTAGGCCTTGGCAACTTGAAGACATCTAATTTGTTTAAGTAATTTTTAACTTGTTCTTTCTCTATTTTAGCCTCTGAATTTACCTCATTTTCACTGGTGTTTGTTATGGTAGATTTCTCATTGTTACTAAACTTTCTGGTGAAAACTGAAACAAAAACGTCATTTAACTCCTCTGCCATTTTTTGTTACTGTTTTTCCCATGTCATTGAGAAAAGAGCCTACCCTGTCCTTGGTCTTCCTCTTGCTTCTGATGGATGTGTAGAAAGTTTTCTTGTGATGCTTTATGTCTCTAGCTAGTTTAAACTCGTTTTGTGCCTTGGTCTTTCTAATTTTGTCCCTACATCCTGTGTTATTTGTTTATTATTTATTCTTTGTAATTTGATGCAGTTTTCACTTTATGTGGGACTCTTTTTTTCAGTTTCAGATCATTAAAGTTTTCCTGATTTAAGTCATGGTGGTCTCTTGCCATCCTGTCTTTCCTACACAGTGGGATAGTTTGCCCTTGTGCTCTTAATAGTGTGGGGTTGCCAGATGGTTTCAACAAAAATACCAGACACACTTGACATTACATCACAATCTACATTACATCTTATTTAGAAAACACTGGACATTTATATTTTCTTATTTATATTTTTTCAATTTGTTTCCTGAACAGAAAGCTCAAATATTGGACTGTCCGGTTTAAAATCGGATACCTGGCAACCCTTATAGTGTCTCTTTGAAAAACTGCCAACTCTCTTGAACTGTTCTTCCCCTTAGACTTGGTTTACACAGGATCTTATCTACTGACTCCCTGAGTGTGCTAAGTCTGCATTCTTGAAACCCATTATCTTTATTGTGCTCTTTTCCTTCCTACCATTCCTTAGAAGCATGAACACTTTCATTTCACAATCACTTCACTTTCAAATTCTCAACCAGTTCCTCCCTGTTTATCAAAGTCAAATCTAAAACACCCTCCCCCCAGGAGTTTTCTCCACCTTAAAAACTGTCTCCAGTACATTCCAAGAACTTGTTGGATAATCTGTGCCTTCCTGTATTATTTTCCCAACAGGCTTCTGTAGCTGAAGTCTCCCATCATCACCCCATGTCCTGTGTTTGGATGATTTTGTTAGCTGTTTAAAAAAAAGACCCAACCAGCTCTTTTTCCTGGTTAGGGATCGGTAATAGCTCTTGATCATGACATCACTCTTTTTTTTAAAACCTCTGTTCTTCTTCCTTCCCCGCCCGCTCCCCTCACCCTAAGCAAGCAGTACTCCTCAAGAAATGGAACGGCCCGCAGAAAGGGGATTGGCTGCTGAGGTTACTGGCTGGGCAGTCAGAATTTTGCCTGTTTATGGGTTCCAACATTAGCGTGTTACCTATTGCATGGAGTTCAGTCTTGATGTGTTTGATGCATAAGGGGGAGTGAGGTTCTGTGATAAACTGGTTGATATGTAATGGTTCACTATGTTGTCTTTAAGAAGTTCTAATTTTAAAAGCAAAGTACTCATGTAGCTCTTTGAGGGACTGGCTTCAGAAGGGAAAAAGTCCCTTTCACCAATAAAAATGACAGTAGCAAGACTCATAGATTGCAGTACAATTATTTGATCACTTCGGAGATAAACAGTATAAGTAGAAAACTGAGTAGAGACACATCAGATGGGCTGTAAGTTGATCACCTGCATTACATTCAGCCTGATAGGCAGGGTGTTTCTACCAGGCCTATCTTTAATATTTCAGAGAAAATGTTTACCTCCTCTGAGATAAAGAAAATATTGATTTACAAAGATCTGTCAGTGATGAAAATGTATTTGTTTCTTGCAGGCTGGTTGCACACGCGCCATAAATTCCCCCACAGGACAGAAAGCATGCATACACCTTAGAGTTATCTACAAAATTTGCACAAAGTCACTTCTTTGAAAATTATTGCATGCCAGGAAAACATCAAGAAAAGCAGAGTCTCAAGAACATAGGCAGGGGAATTTGAGAGAAGAAATATCTTCAAAACAAACAAAAACATTGCTCTGGTGCTAGAGGCAATAAATCTCATTAATGAGACTTTGCATCAAGGCAGAAACCAGTACAGTGGCAATAATAATCCCATTTATTTACGTAGCACATATTTCCAAATTTATTGTTGCCACGTAATGATAAAACAAAGGCAGATTCCTCATTGGCAGAGGGCGGATCAAAGGATCCAATCAGCCTCTTCCATCCACTTCTGATCTCAAGATAAATAGATGACTTTGGAGAGAGGGGAGCAGGGTGTGGGAATCTTCAGTCTCCATTAGACACTCAGCTCCAAGTTTAGAGACAACAAGCATTTTCTCTTCAGGCCCCAGAGGGAAGAAATCAATACGTCTGCAGAGAAAGAAGAAGCTATTGAGTTGTTTTGAATGAAAATGTTATTGGTTTGTGTTTTTTTTTCCCTAGAGGATTGATCTAAAAGGAAAGTGAGGAGACAAGAAAGGGAGACATAAGACATTGGCCTGCTGCTGTCTGACTGGCAGATTCCAGTTAACACCTTATCAGCAGAGCAGCAGGCAACAGCAAATCCTGCCCGCTGAAGCTACATAGCGAAGAAATAGGGGAGGGTGTTCTGTAACCAGGGACAACAACAGCAACACTCCACAGAGCTACCGGGAGGATACAGAGAGACACGCGCAGATCCTGCACAATAACCTTCCTTTCCAAGCAAGAGGAGGAAAATCAAATCAACCTGCAGTGCTTAATTTTTTATTAAGAGAAACCATGACTCAAATGTGAGCACAGCTCGAATCACTGCGAACCCCCACCCCCAAAACCCTCTTCTGAAGTGGAATGTCGCAATTGTGTTTATTATTGTTATTCTTCAATTGAAGAGTGGGGTAAAATCCTCCCGGACTGAAATCCTATCTCCCAGCAAGGTGAGAGCACCACTAAAAGAAAAGCATTTCTCCCCTCTGCCGCTTACTCTATTGCAGCTGCTGCTTTTTTGGTTTTTAAAGAAACATTGTTCTAGGAAGGAGAGGAGATTGGAAGAAGAACCCAAGGTGGTTTTGATATTTTTTTTTTTTTTGCCAAGACACGACTTCTGATGACCCCTCAGTGAAAGAGGGGGAGTTACCAGGCAATATAGAGATTTACTGGTCTGGAGGAAGAGCTGCTGGGCTGTAATGGGGAAATCCAACAGCAAGCTGAAGCCTGAAGTTGTGGAAGAGCTGACCAGGAAGACGTACTGTAAGTATTTGAACCCCTTACAATTGGGCAACTTTCCGATTGTTCTTGTGCTAGGGGTAGGGATGGAGTAGGAGCCAGTCATGATCAAAAGATGCCATTGACTTTCCGTAGGGTCCTGCTGTTTGCCTTTAGGGGCTGCCATGTGCTATTTGCGTGCCACCTGCATATGTTTAGGGGAGGGATGTGCAAGTGTGTCATGTTTTGTATCATTGCATCATCTGCTGCACTAATAAAGAAAGCAAAAGAAAAGGCTGGTGTTTGAGGGGGTCACTGGAGAGGGGGGACCCCGTGATGGCATCATTAGTCCGCGATCGGCCTGCTATTCCGGTGAGAAGCACCAGACAAGCAAGTGTTTCTTTCTAGAGAAGCTCAGCCTGGTGATTCAGACATCACGATGCACTGAAGTGTTGGTGAGGCGAGTGGAACACCCCCATCTTCCCCCAAACATCTCCCATGGGGTGGGAGGGAAGAGCATGAGCGGGGCTAGGGGGAAGACAGAAAATAATGGTCACTGGTAAAACATTGCAGCAATCTTTGGTTTGTGGGAGAATCTGTACTGATTTCTGAAATTCTTTCCCTTCCCTTTCACTCCTCCCCCCCATCCCCTGTTCGTTTTTTGGTTTATTTTTAGTTCAGAGTGTTGTGTTTTGTAGAATATTGACGGTTTCTTAATCATTCCCCTAAGAGTGCTCAGAGGCGCTGCTGTGCTTGGTGGCAAGAATTCAGAGGTTAGCCTAGAAAGAGAGGAACATAGAGAGTTATTTATTATAGCGGGCAGGGATCCAGGGAAACACCCCTCAACCCTGAAAAAAAATTCCTCCTATCTCTAAGGAACCCATAACTCACAAGCAAGGAATGCCATCCCCTCCACGACCTGCATTATGACTTGCGAACTCGACATGCACTTTTCGTGGATCTACAGCTTCCCGACCTTTATGGGACTGTCTCACCCTCATCTGGGCCATTATAGCAGGACCAAGGTAAAGCCAAGAGGGAATATAGAGGTGCACAGAGGGAGTCACATTGGAGTTTGCTTCTCCTTGCTTGCCTCTACTTTGGAAGCAAGACACTTGTTTAATGCCAGGTCCCAACCATTTGTAGCTTTAAAAGTTTGCGTTCATCAGCATTGTGAGGCACAGTGAGAGGTCAGACACCCGAAAACACCTTCTTTTCCTCCAAGAATCTTAATCATCTGCTCCGTCAAGTGGGTGGATTTTTCATTTGAATCGCTGATGTAATCTTATTAGCACTGCAAGCTGCTGGACTGCTCTGCTTAGTGAGCCCAATGTGCTCGAAGGGTGTATGGAAGAAAAGCAGGAAGGTACAGCCAAGGCTGCTGTGTTCCAGTCTGCCTCTCTGCGCACAGGTTGGAGGTATAATTGTTGCATAGCTGGAGAGCAGTTGAAAGCAAACAGACCCAGGAGTTCTCTCTCCACTATCACTGTGCTGCAGTCCCATGGCAGCACTTACCCTAAAAGGCAATAGCTTAGAATGCAGCAGGTTCTTCTAGAGGGAACGGAGCCACTCTGGTGCATTGCACAAATCCAGCATCCACTGGGCAGCCTGGTGCATAGAGCATTAGTGCAAGGCATCAGGCTTCCAAGCTGACTTGGGCCTGCAGTGGCATGATCCCATCTCCATTTCTGTCCTTCAGACCAGCTGGGGATAGTTTCAAGATGATCCGGCACCATCACAGACTTCTGTGCTGGGTGGTACCAGACCCTGGGCTACCCTTGACCTCGTCTTTTGTCTACTCTGTAGTTTCACTTTACACAGCAGTGAATCCCTCTGGGGAGAAATATGTTGCAGACAAAGGACCATGGTATCCTGTGTCTTGCCAACAATAGATGCTGAACAAGTATAATAGTATTGTGAAATTGTCATTCATGTGGCGATGTTTCCATTGCTAGCTGAGGCCAACTAGGGGTCATTTGTTTTCAATCACTCATTGCATCACCACTATTCTTCTCTTCAGTTCTCTCTTCTGCGTGCCCAGTTTCTCCTTGACCATTAAAAAAAAATCCCTCGACCACTTGGTTTTGGTTAGTCTGCCCAATGACAAGCACTATCAGAAACTATGGGCCATGTTTTCAGCTAGCTGCAAACTGGCCTCTGCTTTTACACATTTTTTCTTCCACATGCAGCTCACGGTACTTTTTTGTAGGTCCTCCACTCTCATTTGGACATGCAGATTGGGCAACAAAGTGCATGCAGCCAACACTTGGGTGTGTGCAGATGAAATTGGGTTGTGTGTACAATGGTGGCCCTATAAAACAGGCAGACCTAACAGTCCAGGCTCAGAGTTAGATCTCATGGCCCAAATTCTCTTCTGGTAAATAGTACCATCTCCTTGCCATCAGAAGAATTGTACCCATGTAACAAGAATGGGACTGTTTGTTTAGCTATCCTTATGCCAGACCTCCTTTATGGAGATAATCACTTTTGCTAAGTGTTCTGCATCTTTGCTACAGCTGTCAAGAAGAGTGAGCACTTTCCAGTCTTATCTAGGTACTTATATGTCCCTCATCACCAGCCAATTTGAAAACAAGTCCAGTGGCACCTTAAAGATTAACAGATTTATTTAGGCATAAGCTTTCATGGGCAGAGAGCCCCTTTGTCAGATGCGTATGTGGGTCTTTGCTCATGAAAGCTTAGGCCCAAATAAATCTGTTAGCCTTTAAGGAGCATAGGACTTGTTGTTATTTTTGCAGATACAGACTAACGTGGCTACCCCTTTGATACGTATCCTATTTGAGCACCTCAGATTGTATCCTGGGATCCTTGGGAGTTAGAGAAATGCTGTTATCCCCAGTTACAAGTGGAGAACACTGGCAAAGGGATAATTAAAGGGCTTTCCCAAGGTCTCTCTCACACACATAGAATCTTTAGCTGAGATGGGACTTGAACCTTGATCACCTCTGTTTCATGCCCTGTCTACTAGACCCCTCTTCTTATCCTACAGAAGTTACACTGGATACCTGGATCAGTCAGATAGCAAGCAGCTCCTCAAAGAAACTAAAACTTCCCTTCCACACAGGGCTCAGTGTTACCTGGCCTGATACCCTGCCTCTTATCATTCCATCTTACACTGCTGTCCATCATAGCACCTCCTATGTGAAAGGCCCAGCATAAGAAGCCACCATGATGGGATGTGAACCCACAACCTTTGCCTAAACTCCCCAGTCACTGTGGGAGTGGAGCCCTGGGTTGGCTGTTACACTGCAGAGCCCATCAGCCTTCTGTTTGCTCTGTTGATAAATTGGAACATGTTCAGAAAAGAGCCAATTAAACCAATTCAAGGGTTGGAAAACCTCACTTATAGCGATAGACTCAAGGAGTTGAACGTATTGCGCTTCATAAAGAGAAGGCTAAGGGATGACGTTACATGGGTGTGGCAGTGCTCCAGCTTTGCCTTGGGGGTCCTGCACATCTAGGCAGCTAGCACTTGCCTCAGAGGCTCACTGTAACCCCTCATGTAGCCTCTCTCCCTTACTGGAGACCAGGGGTCACGGACTCCTGAGCCACTTTCATCATAGGCCAGTCAAACAGGTTTGGGGTGAACCCTCTCTTTAGTCCCAACCTCCCCCTTCAAGGATAGTCTCTGTAGTGCAAGGAGGTTGAGGGAAATCCAGGCCCACGCTAATGGCAGCAACAGGTAGTGTTTCCTCCTCCACCAGAGCTGCAGAGTACTTTCCACCTGGTACCTGACCACCTCTTTCCACTCTTCTATAGCACACCTCTTCACTCCCAGTCCTTGCCTGCTGGCCCTCCCTGAAGGGAAGCCTTTTAAACTAGCCCCAGCAGGTCCTTAATGGGCTGCAGGTGTTAGGATTAGCCTGTTGCTTCTGGCAAGCTCTTGATTGGCCCCAGGATCTTCCTGATTGCGTGGCAGCAGACATGCAAATTTGTGAAGCAGCCCCTGCCTTGGTTATTCTGGGAACAGAAAATTATTCACCCAGGGTATGTCTACACTACCCCGGGATTTGAATTTCCCAGGCTTCATTTGCATGTTGCCAGGCACCGCCATTTTTAAATGTCCGCTAGTTCGGACTCCGTGCCCGCGGCTACACGCAGCACGGACTAGGTAGTTCGGATTAGGCTTCCTATTCCGAACTATCTGTACACCTCGTGGAATGACATTTAAAAATGGCGGCGCCCGGCAACATGCAAATGAAGCCCAGGAAATCCAAATCCTGGGCTTCATTTGCAACTCCGGTTGCCTACATTAACCACCCTAGTTCGAACTAGGGTGGTAGTGTAGACATACCCCCAGAGGTCTACCTTCTATCAGACTGCAGTAGCCAATTAGTCTGGGTCTGTCACATGGAGTACACATATTTGATAACAGGCTCTTAAGTCTAGCAGACAAAAGTATAACAAAATCCAGTGGCTGGAAGCTGAAGCTAGACAAATTCAGCCTAAAAAGAAGGTGTACATTTTTAACAGTGATGGTTATCAATCCTTGGAATAATTTACCAAAGTTCATGGCAGATTCTCCATCACTGGCAGTTTTTAAACCAAGATGGGATGTTTTTCTAAAAGGCATGCTCTAGTTCAAGAAGTTCTGTGACCTGTGTTCCACAGAAGGTCCGATTAGAGGATCACAGTGATTCTTCTGACCTTTGACTTTTTGAAGCATAGTATGTGGGCCAAATTATATTGTGAATTGAGATACACGTATCGACAGCTATCCCCTCGGTGTGTCTGTGACAGGCATCTGATGATAAATAACCAGTCTTGTCCTGTGAGGTTAGGATTCCGTTGTGTAGTTCCCATGACATGAGCCATGCATGTCTAGCCCAACTGCTAGCGCACCAGATCCCAAGAGGGAATTTCTCTCTGTTACATCATCGTATATTGGGGTGTGTGTGTTAAAATAATGCTTTAGTTGCTAATTTGAAGGGCTGCTGGCTTTTAATGTTTATAGAACTCCCCTTCCGTTGCTTTACTGTACAAGGCTATCAGTATGTACACGGAAAAACTTAAAAAACAACAAACAG